TTCTGCCAGACAGCTTTCCAGACACTCCTCCCTAAGCCTGTAGCGCTGCATGGGGTTGTTGTGACCAAAGTGCAGGACCTGGCACTTGGCCTTGTTGAACCTCAAACAGTTAGTTGTAGCCCATCAATCCAGCCTGTCCAGATGCCTTCCTACCCTCAAGCAGATCAACACTCCCACCCAGCTTGGTGTCATCTGCAAACTTACTGAGAGTGCAGTCAATCCCCTCATCCAGATCATTGATAAAGATATTAAACAGAGCTGGCCCCAAAACTGGGGCCTGAGGAACGCCACTTGTGACTGGCCACCAACCGGATTTAACTCCATTCCCCCAACACAACTCTTTGGACCCAGCCATCCAGCCAGTTCTTTACCCGGCAGAAAGTATGCCTGGCCAGGCCATTGGCAACCAGTTTCTCAAGCAGAATGCTGTGGGAAATGGTATCAAAGGCTTTACTGAAGTCCAGGCACACCACATCCACAGCCTTTCCCTTGTCCACTAAGCAGGTAACTTTGTCATAGAAGGAGATCAGGTTGGTCAGGCAGGACCTGCCTTTCATAAACACACGTTGACTGGGCACAATCACTTGGTTGTCCTGTATGTGCTGTGTGATGGCATGCAAGATGATCTGCTCCATCACCTTACCTGGCACTGAGGTCAGACCAACAGGCCTGTAGTTCCCCGGTTCCTCCCTCCACCCCTTCTTGTAAGTGGGTGTCACATTTGCCACCCTCCAGTCAAGTGGAACCTCCCCAGTCAGCCAGGACTGTTGGTAGATGATGGAAAGGGGTTTGGCAAGTACCTCCGCCTGCTCCCTCAGTACCCTTGCGTGGACCGCATCCAGCCCCACAGACTTGTGGATGTCTAATTGGCTGAGCAGGTCTCTAACCATTTCTGCCTGGATCATGGGAGCTTTGTTCTGCTCCCCATCGCTGGCTCGGGGGGCTGGGTACCTGGAGAGCAGCTGACCTTACTATTAAAGACAGGCACAGAAGGCATTAGGTACCTCGGCCTTATCCTCATCCCTCGTCACTATTGTTCCCTCTGCATCCAGTAAAGGATGGAGATTCTCCTTGGCTTTCCTGTTGTTAATGTATTTATAGAAACATTTTTTTGTTATCTTTCACAGAGTTGGCCAATTTAAGTTCTAGTTGGGCTTTAGCCCTTCTGATTTTCTCTCTGCAAGACCTCACTTCATCCTTGTAGTCCTCCTGAGACGCCTGGCCCCTATTCCAAAGCTCACAGACTTTCCTCTTTTTTTCTGAGATCTACCCAAAGTTCTCTGCTCAACCAAGCCAACTTTCTTCCCCGCCAGCTTGTTGTTCAGAACATGGGGATGGCCTGCTCTTGTGTCTCCAGGATTTCCTTCTTGAAGAGTGTCCAGCTTTCTTGGGCTCCTTTGCCCTTCAGGACTGCCTCCTAAGGGACTTTACTAACTAGTCTTCTAAATAGTCCAAAGTCTGCCCTCTGGAAGTCCAAGGTGGCAGTTTCCCCCTCTTTGCTTCTCCAAGAATTGAAAATTCAATCATTTTATGATGGCTGTGTCCCAGGCTTCCTCCAACCATCACATCTTCCACAAGACCTTCTCGGTTCACAAAAAACAGGTCCAATGGGGCACCTTCCCTAGTTGGTTCACTCACAAGCTGTGTCAGGAAGTTCTCTTCCATACACCCCAGGAAACCTCCTAGACTGTTTCCTTTCTGCTGTATTATACTTCCAGCAGACATTAGGTAAGTTGAAGTCCCCACAAGAATGAGGGCTAGAGATCGTGAGCCTTCTCCCAGCTGCTTGTAGAATACCTTATCTCTAGATGCTGTTACAAATGAAGTAAATCAAACAAAAGCTCCAGGCATGCTGAAAGAAGCCCTGGTGAAGTGTGACAGCCACAGTCCTGAGGCCTTGTAAGCTCAGTGCAGACCCCATTCCCCAGTTCCATCCCAGCCTGTGCTTGTTGTCTGACATCGGTGTAACTGCAGGTGTGGGGTGCTGGGCTGCTCACCTGGGCTGTGGGTGCTGCAGCCTGTGGGTGTGGGGTCTCAGTGCCTCATTGGGGCCTCTCAGCCCACAGTGGCTCTACCTGGCTCAGGGAAGGGCCACACAGTTCGCAGCACCCGTGGATGGGGGGCAGCTGCCCCTCCAACAGCATCCCCTGCAGCGACTCCTCGGTTAATAGGGTTAACAGTTAATAGAGTTAATGGTTAATAGGGTTAAAAGTTAATAGAGTTCCTGCTGCCTGGGACATGCACGGGGCCCAGCTGGGGCACCCCGGCACCCCACCTCGATGGCTGGTCCCAGTTCGGGGTTTTGCATCTCCCACCAACCTGGGCTTGCAGCTCAAAGTGTCTCCTGGAGGCTGCCCGTGCTGGGGACACCCCTTCTCTCCCAGCTGTACTGTCCCTCCTGCTTGCCCAGGCCTGGGGGGGCTGCGGAGGCCACAGAGCTGGCAGGACCAGCTCCCCTGCCAGCCCCTTTGGCTGCACACCAGCTGGCACAGGGGCGGAGCTGGCCCCAGGCTGCTGCCTGGCTCAGTGCAGAAATGAATGCAGGTGCACACCTGCTGCAGGCAGGGAGAGCCTCTGTGCAGGCAAGGAGGGGCACGAAGGGATCATCCTGTGCTGCTGCCAGCTCCAACCTGATACCAATGTCCCCGTCTTGTGCCTCATGCAGGACTTTATCCTGAGCAGAGGCCTGGTTGTGGATGGGGCTGGAACCGCTGGCACGGTGAGATGCTGACCGTGCACTCGGGGAGCACAGAGACAGACACCCGGTGCCACTGTGTTCCCAAGGGCATAGGCACTAACTCTACACATACACTCCCCAACAGGACGACTGCAACTGGGGGTCCAGCCATCCACCTGGGACTGTCCATGCTTCAAACTGGACAGGACCTACTTCACGGCTGGAGGAACCCCCCCGGGCAGAGGCTCGCCTTGCTTGGCAGCTTCACAGTGGTTACAGGGCCTTGGCTGGAGTGGGGTGGTGGGCAGCCCAGCAGGACCCCAAGCTGCCAGGGCCTGGCTGCTGCTGCCTGAGCTGGGCAGGCACCCAGGGGTGCTGCAGGGCTCCTCTGGACAGAAAACCATCCAGCGCCGCAGCAGCCCAGCTCACTTTGTTCTTTGGACTGTTACTTCAAGTGCTGTTAGGTCTGGTGGGACACACTCACCCTCTCTGGGCTGGCGAGAGGCAGCTGCTCACCTTGAGGGTTCACACTCATGGGGCCGTGTTTGTCCTTGCTGTAAGGTGATTCAGGACTTGCTCAGGGCCAGGGCAGTTTGTCCTTGAGTTGGTGACAGACCCATGCATCATTGCCTGGGCCTGCCCAGCCCTGGGGAGCTATGCAAGGCAGGGACTGGCTGGGGAGACCCCCTGGTTGTGCCTGGCTGGTTTTTAAGTGGCTTGGCTCCTCATGCACAGTCACATTTGCACTAGTGCCAGCCCCAGTGCTGTGCCCAGTCCCATCTTGCAGGGCAGTGACACAGGTCATCAGCATTGCCTTTGGCTGGCATTCAGGCCATACAGGTGCTTGGCCCTGGGTTCCAGCATGCCCCATATCCTCATGCCATTGCCTTGGGGTCCTTTCCTCCTGAGCCAAGTGCTAGGGTGGCCTTCCTCTCCCAGGTGGGCATCCAGATCCCCAGGGAGAAGCCTTGTGCTTACCCACCATAACCCCTTGTGCATGCCTGTTCAGAGCCCTCGTGGATTGACACACACACACATCCCTTGGGCATGTGTCCCTATGCTGCACCCACATCTCCTGGTCATCTCACACCGCATCCAGTGCGGCCCTTGGGGTAGCCTGGATAACTGTCCAGGAGATCCCAGGACACAGGGTGCAAAGCTGCAAGGTGGGCAGGCAACAGGGAAAGAAGAAAAAAATGTTACAACCAGAAAGAAGCTGAAAGCATGAGAAGAGCCTGAAACCAAATCAAAAGCTATAAACGGCACCAGAGACACCCCAGCGCAGGGAACAAGTACCCCAGGGTGTTCAGGAGACTACAGCTGGCAGAACCAGGGCTGTCCCCTCCAGCCTTATCTCACTATCCATTGTGTGAAATTAAGGAAAGCAACAGAGGAGTCTGGGGTGAAACAGGGTGAACTCAGGTCTTCTGCTGCCTTTTGCAGAGGTGGCTGAAGTCAGGACTGGTGCGAGAGGGTGGATGGGGAATGGGGACTAAAACCACTGCAGGGCTGCACACAGGCAGATAAGACCAGCTGCTGTGGAGCCACAAGCAAGCCCAGCTGGCTGTGGCGAATAACCCTTCCTGTGGGTAAGGGCTTGGCCTCTGGCATGAGGCATCTCTGGTTACCCCAAGTCTTCACCTGCCATGTGTGGGGCCAAACTGCTGGGAGATGGTCGCTGGCACCTGCCTGGGTGGAAACTCATACTCACTGGGCTCTCTGCCCACCTTGCCAGGGCTTTTGCCTTCCCCAGGGTGTTGATGGGCTGAGCCAAGTGCAGGTGCAAAACCTGGGGGCTTCCCAGGCTTGAGGACCCTCCTTGACTGCCAGTTACCTCCAAGCCTGGCAAGTGTCCCCCCACAACCACTCCCTCCCTGCCTGTCTCATCCCTCTGTTCATAGCCAGAGCTAAGGTATAACAAAGAGAGTGGAAAAGAGCCTTTATTTAGAAAGCACATGGTGCCCAGGGCTCCTGGGCCCTCTCCCACCTGACTGAGCCTGCCGATACCCCTACAGACCACCTGCTCCCACCTCCTGTCACTGTTCCTCTTGCTGTGGGTGCAGAGACCTCCCCATCCCTGACAGCTCCCCAAGTGCAGCACCCACTGCCCAACCATGGTACCTGCCCCATCCCACCCCCAGCCAAGCCACCTCCACCCCCCTTCAAGCACCCACCCCTGCACCTGCCTAACAGACACTGCAGCCCCTCGGAGCTGTGCCACCACCATGCACCCACCCCCACATGCTCCCCAGCCAGGGTGTTCCTGCAGAGCCCCCGTGGAGGCACAGGGCCAGGAGCAGGGACATCCCCCCTCCCTGCCCTGCTACCGGTGCGGAGGCTCCTGCTTCTGGTGTTGTGGCCACTGCCACCTGCGGAAGGGCTGGGGGCTGAGCAGGGGGATATGTCTGACGAGGCACAGGGATGAGCCGAGGCTGGGGATTTCAGAGCAGGGAGGTGCTGGCTGGGGTCCCAGGGCTGGGGGATGGTGTCTTGG